CACACACACACACACACACACACACACACACACACACATGTCTCCAGCAGTACACATGTGCCAGTGTGCACACACACAGAAGTGCAGTGAACTGAATGTGCACAAGAAAACACACTGTGTCATAAAGAGATACACACTTTTAAAACAAAGGAATGTACAGGTTCAGACTCAGGAGGGTGACATGAAGATTAACTCGACTCATAAAGATGTCTCTTTGGACTCTAGGACTGCTGGTTGAAACGACAGGATCTTGGTGAACGTGTGCCCTGTGGGGAGAGGGGAAGGGGCATGTTTATGGGGACTGACACAGAGAAGAGGCACTGCAGAGACAAACCCATACAGCGTGGCAGCCTGTGCCTTACGTTTCCACTGCTCCAGTGTCAGCTCAGCATTGTCCTGCGAGTGGTCATAGGGCTGGGCCTCTGTCTCTTCTTCAGGTTCCCGGAACTCGGCAAAGAACGGCATCGTGAGAGCCTCGGCCGCACTCACTCTCTTCTCAGGGTCCAGCACCAGCATGCGCTCCAGGAGGGTCATGGCTAGGGGAGAGAAGAGTGGGTGGGACCACTATGAACAGAGGGCGGGGCCAGTGTGAAGAGAGGGCGGGGCCAGTGTGAGGAGAGGGCGGGACCAATGTGAAGAGAGGGCGGGGCCAATGTGAAGAGAGGGCGGGCCAGTGTGAAGAGAGGGCGGGCCAGTGTGAAGAGAGGGCGGGCCAGTGTGAAGAGAGAGCGGGGCCAGTGTGAAGAGAGAGCGGGGCCAGTGTGAAGAGAGGGCGGGCCAGTGTGAAGAGAGGGCGGGCCAGTGTGAAGAGAGGGCGGGCCAGTGTGAAGAGAGAGCGGGTCCAGTGTGAAGAGAGAGCGGGGCCAGTGTGAAGAGAGAGCGGGCCAGTGTGAAGAGAGAGCGGACCAGTGTGAAGAGAGAGCGGACCAGTGTGAAGAGAGGGCGGGGTCAATGTGAAAAGAGGGCGGGGTCAATGTGAAGAGAGGGCCGGGCAGTATGACAGAGGGTGGGACCAGTGTGAGGAGAAGGCAAGGCAGTATGAACGGAGGGTGGGGCCAGTGTGAAGAGAGGACAGGGTAGTATGAAGTGAGGGTGGGGTTAGGGTGATAAAAGCATGTCTATTTTGAGGAATCTTTTTCTTCTAAATTGAAATTCATTTATTTAAATGAAGTCAGCTATCATTCTGTGTTGAGTGTTATGCAGAATCTAGGCAGCTAGAGCATCATCCATGACCTGATAAGAGGAATAACCAGTTCAGGAGTCTAGGTCTGAAATCTATAACAGATAATCTGACACTCATGGGTGAGAGAGAGGCAAAGACAGAGGAGTCTCACTCCAGTGCCGGCCACCTGGGTGACACTGTGCATTTGACTGTCCCTCACAGAGCACTGATCTCAATCCCATCATACACCTTTGGGATGAACTACAACCGAGATTGTGAGCCAGGCCTTTACATCCTATATCAGTGCCTGACTTCACAAATACTCTTTTGGACAAATGGGCAAAAATGCCCGCAGACATCTTCCATAATCTTGTGGAAAACCTTCCCAGAAGAGTGGCAGCTGTTATAGCTCTAAAGGGGGTCCAACTCTATATTGACGCCTATGGATTTAGATTGTGATGTCATAAACGTTCCTGTAGATGTCATGGCCAGGTTTCTCAATACTTTTGTCCGTATAGCGTATCTGATGACAGTCTGATGTTTGGAATGTGTTTGTAGAACCTTTTAAATATAAGAATCACAATTCTGAGATTTTGTTCAGTTTGGTTTGAATGTCTGGTTACTCCGAACACATTGAAATAAGGCTAAGAAGTCTATTTTGAATTGTCTGTTTATTGATGATGCTTATTGATGAATGTTCAGAAACGTGGATGATTTTTCAGACATTCATGAATCAGCAATAGCTCCGTGTGCAGTAGTAGAACTTCCAGCGACGATCTCTGGCAAAACACAGAACAGTTTTATTTAATAAGCAAAGTAGTAAAAGAATTTACGACTTATTTGTAAGCAAAAATAAATTCAGACAAGGTAGCAGTTTATATCTGTCAGAACTTTCATGGTGAACAAATTTAGATTATGGAAGACTTTGAACAATTTAAAAATGTAAAATCCATTTCTAGGTATATGATTTCATACGTACTCATAAGAATTGCTGTGGACACTTTCAGCTCCAACAAGGTAATTCATACTTGGAACGAGCCATGTGAATTCCTCATCATAAAAGTTCACATAAGGCGTCCACTGACAGTTATAGTTACAGTAGTTATAAGTTTGGCAACACTGAAACTGCCATCTGTAAATAAGGAACATTGCAAAACAAATATGAAATGAAAACTAAAATATTCTTCAGTATGAAAAACAAGAAAGTGGTTAGATACTGAACGACAAACTGATGCATTGATATAAAAATTTAAACTATCTGAAACTTTAGGCTTGCCCAATAAAGACCAGCACATAGAAATTATTTGCAAAACAATTCATATTGTGAGTTGTTTGTAATATGCATGCTAAAATTTGAAAAAGCTTTGAGGAACAGAGTTTACTCAAAACATTGTGAAATACATACTCTTGCAGTTTTTCCATTCAACCCAAAATATGCAAGCTGATGAAAATAACACTCTAAGAGTACAACAAGTTGGATTTTAGTGATAATCAGTGCCTCATATGTCTGGTAATAGTAGTAGTACTAGTAATACTAATAATAATAATAATAATAATAATACCTTCTGTCTCCATATTTATCGTCATGAATGCTGCCCATCCCCGTCATGACGTAATTGTTGGGGCACACGAAGGTGAACTGCTCATCAAAACTATTCACATAGTTTGTCCAGAAGCACTGAGGGTTTGAGTTAAAGGTGTCCTTGCACTGAAACTCCCATATACGGTCCTCATAGAGATTGTCATGCTTGCTAAAAAAAGACGTTGAAACTTGCATTTGCTTCACTGGACAACACAATTGAATTAAGCAACGGAGATCACAACTGAACGGCAAGTATATATCATGAACTTAGAGGTATGACGGACCTCTCTGTGTGTGAGTTTCCTTTAGCTACATC